AGAGAGACCCTGAACTGGGCTCAGAATTGTTCTAGAGTGAGCACAGCAAGGTCAACCTCAGGGTACTTTTTGTTTGTTATGGTGAGGTACATAGAACTCTCCTCTGAATAAATGGACCAAAGATCTAAATGTTAAAACAGAAACACTTAATCAGCTGCAAGATAAAGCAGGTAAAACTCTTGAAGACAGAGGCGTAGGCAAGGACTTTCTGAACAGAACCCCAGTTATATAAGAAATAACATCAAGAATCACAAATGGGATTACATCAAATTAAATAACTTCTGTGCAGCAAAGTAAACAAACAACAGAGTGAAGAGACAACCTACAGAGTGGGAATAAATTTTTGCCAACCATTCCACAGACAGAGGACTAATACGTAGAAGATAGGAAGAACTAAAATAATTAGACCCTCCCCAAAGTAAAAGACCCAATTTAAAAAATGGACAACTGAAATGAATGGACATTTCTCAGGAGAAAAAGTTCAAATGGCCAATAATATACATGAAGAAATGCTCAAAATCTCTGGCCATTAGAGAAATGCAAATTAAAACAACATTGAGATTTCATCTTACTCCAGAAAGAATGGTCATCATCAAGAAATCAAATAATAACAAATGCTGGTAAGACTGTGGGAAAAAAGAAACTTCTCTACATTGTTGGTGCGAATGTAAACTAGTATAACCACTATGGACATCAGTGTAGAGATTCCTCAAAGAAGTAAAACTAGAAATTCCATTTGACCCAGCTATCCTCCTTCTAGGTATCTTCCCAAAAGAGTTAAAATCATCATATTACAGGGATACATGCACACCCGTATTCATAGCAGCATAATTTATAATAGCTAGATCTTAGAAACAGTGTATACATCCATCAACAGATGAATGAATAAGGAAAATAATACACAAGGGAGTGCTATACCGCCCTAATGAAAGATAAACTTGAGCCATTCACAGGTAAATGGATGCAGCTTGAGAACGTGATGTTAAGTGAAATAAATCAGACATACAAGTTTAAATGTCACATGGTTTTTCTTATATGAAAAACTCAAAATATATATATCTACAAATAGCAAAATGTAAGAGAGATAAATAGGAAGTAGGGAGATGTTCAAAAAAATTCCCCAAATTACTTACTCTGTTGTTCAAAAATATTTTAATAACTATTCTAATTTGTTTTATTAATATTACTATTTTCTCTTAGTTCTTTAGAAAGAAAGTTTTGTTCCATTGTTTCTTCTTTCTAAGAGTGAATCTTTTCTGTCAAGGTCTTATACTTTGAGTAACTATCCTGAAGATAATGATATTAAATATTGTATTAAATATCGTTATTCTCTTACTATTTTCTTACAAAATTTTGTTTTTATTTTTTCATAAAAAATAATTGAGATTAAAAGACAAAAAAAGTAAGAAAGAAATCAAGTAATAACACATGCTAGTGAGGCTGCAAGGGGAAAAGGAACCCTTCTGCCTTGTTAGTGGGAATGTAAACTACTAGGACCTTTATGGAAATCAGTAGAGGGAGTCCTCAAAAAACTAAAACTAGAAATTCCATTTAACCCTGCTATTCCTCCTGTAGTTATCTTCTTGAAAGAGTCAAAGACATTATATTATAATGATACATGCACACCCGTATTTCTAACAGCTAAATAGCTGCTAAATAATTGTTAAATCTCTGAAGTAACCTGTATGTCTAACAGCAGATGAATGAATAAAGAGAATGTGGTATTTATACATAATGTGGTATTTATTCCATAAAGAAGGCTATACGTGAGTCATTTGGAGGAGAATGGATGTATCTTGACACCATAATGTTAAGTAAAATAAATCAGACACACAAATTTAAATACTACCTTGTTTGTCTTTTATGAGAAACCCAAAATATAAATAAAGAGCAAAATAAAAAAGATAGATAATAGAAAATAGGGAGATCTTTTGCAGATGGGAAGGCGACCAAGACATGGAGGGAGGAGAAGAGAGAGAGATGAAAAAGAATTAATTACATGTACATGTACCAACTCCCCATGAGGAATGTAATCATCATGTATGGCAAATGTGTTTTAATAAAAATAAGAATTGAGGGCAAAAGGAATTCTGCTTTGAATGATACATCTTGATTGAATTCTGCTCCTTCAGTTTCTGGCATCTGATCCAGGAAACCTTTATCTTCTGTGTCCCTCAAACCCTTAAGATAGGTTCTTTCTTTCACATTTGAGCTAGGAGCATTCTGGTATACCCCTGGATGCCTTCTCTTTGCCTTTTACAGTGACCTGAGAACTTGCAGTTAGTGGGTTATGGATAAGAAATCTCCATGAAAACAGTTGGTCACACTCCTCGTTCATCCACAAATGATTGTGAGTCCCTCTCATGCGCTGGACATTGTTTTAAGCACTGACAGTAACCAAAAAGATTCTTTTGGTATTGGAACCAATTCTAATGGAGCAAGATAGACCATCAAAGCCAAGCAAGTGGAATTTGGGAAGGAGACCATGGCTGGAAATAGGAAGAGTTGGCAGTAATTGGCATAGAGATGATACCTTAACTGGGAAGCTGAGAAAGTTCCCCAAGACAGTCTTAAGAGAAAAAGGGTCAGAAGGGCAGCCCCAGGGGATTAATTCTAAAGAGAGAAGGGAATGAGGAAAGACAGGGTGGTGGTGCAGGAGGTAGGAAGGAAGTACAGGAATATATCAGAGCCAGGGAGTGCAGTGGGTCACCCAGTGAGAAACTGTATCCTGACCTTTGCCCCTTCATTATGGAGGCAGAAAGTAAATAGGTTTTGAATTGCTGGGTGACACATGAATTGAGTAAATCAGTCAGGATCAGTCTAAGATCTCACAGGAGAAGGACAATTAATGTCATCCATAGGGGATGCAGGGGAACAGGATAAGAATGGAAAGGGTATCACAGGATAAAGAGGATGCATGCCAGCAAATACTTGGGATCAGGTGCAGTGTGTTTGGAGGACACCTGGGGAGAAGGGAAACCAGTGCTGGGGCCCCTGAGAAAACAACTTATTTTTTCTTATTTTTTT